CTATCTGTCTCTTTCTAGTCACGCGCTGGGATTGGCTGCCGCGCCAACGACGATATAGCTATACATTTTTCTCCATCCAATTCAAAGAAACTGTCATTGCTAAAATGATCACTGCAAATATATGCTGTTTTCACTTCAAAATACAAAGGTAGTTGAAGTATATTCAACCATTTACGCCTTATATCTCCATCCTTCGGTAGCCTACAACATTTACATATTTTTTTAAATGTAGGAAAAAATAACATATAATTATTTGAGGTTACGTATTTGTACTTTCTTACGAGTGAAAACTGCGGTTATATCCAGGATAAGACTCCGCATTATATCCAGAATAAGACTCCTTGCATTTCAAACAATGCCTCATTTTTAAACAAATCGCGTCCAATTATTATTTTGTTAACGTTCGAATATTTAACGAATTTTAATTCTACACATGTGCACGCATATTTACAAAACGAAATTTTAGTCTGCTTTCTCCCCTCCTGACGTCGCGTGGTCACTTGGTGACTCATTGTAACAACCAATCACAGCGCTCGACTAGAAAGAGACAGATAGGACACTCGGCATCCATTTCTCTCTTGACCTCTATCACTTCCACTTACAAATAGCATATATCCCTTGTTCCCTCTATTCTTATATCTCTATGGTTATCTCGCTGTTAACTAACGAGTATAGTGATTGGTTGTGCGCTGTTTCTCAGTTTCCTTGAAGGTAGAAAATAACTGGCCCAAGCTAGAGATATGGTAATCGGGGCAGGTGTCTTCCTCTTTTAGTGCCTCTTCCAAGTTATCACACCCCGACTCCACAAATAGTTTCATAAATCCACATAACGAGGCAAACTTCATGTCCTGTTGGGCCCTGTGTTTGCATTTTTAAGTAAATGAATCTGTGACGTAATATTAGTTGACGTGACAGTTGTTCAAATAAGATAGTTCTACGATACGAATAGCTTTGAATACGAATTTCACTTATACACTGTGAGATAAAAATTTTGGCTTGGTAACTATGACTTAGGCTTGATGGTTATTCTTTTTTCAGTGTAGTAGTAATGTGCGTATAAAGTTATCATCACTACAGTGTAATATTACAGTAACATTTATTACAAAAATATTCCTCCTGACGATAATTCTTTCATTATGAAATTATAGTTACAAATACCAGGTACTTTTTTCTCAATATATAGGAAAATGACAGTATACAGTGAGATAAAGCATCTCATTTCGTTACTTACGTGTCGCCGATGAACAAGCATCTTTGTGGATCAATTACATTATATGTACTGAAGATGTAATCTTTCAAGATCTGGCTGGGTTTGGCGAACGAAATTGGTTTTCTTCCGCTAAGTTGGTTGATAACCTCCAACAGTGGGCCAGGACCTGAAAACAAGAAAACACGATCCTTTTTCAGTTCTATTCCATGCAAATTTTTTCTGCACCGAAAACGCACGCCTCTTTTATCTCGCCGTGCGAGAGCAATGTTGTTCGTATTCCACTTTTTATGCAGATATAAAAAGGCAATTATTTATGACAAGCTTCAGATATGCATTGTTCTACATATTTCAATGATAAAAACGATAAATGTTTTTCCAAACGCAATTATTTCTAAGAAATACTCGGTAATGAAATATATTTATATTAAAGGAGGAAACAGAATAAGACTTTGTATCACACACAATGACATTGCCAATACCTACCTAAAACTTTTATGTTTTTGTCCCCTACCCACGTGTCCGGTGCCCCCGACAAGTAGATCACTTCTTCACGTTTGAGACACGATATGGCTAAAGCCATCTTCCCCCAGTTGCAATGACTATCGAAATCTACAATTACAGCTTTAACAGAAGGCCGATCGGAAATCTCGCTTAAAATCGGTTCCAGTAGAGGAACTTTTGGCTGCGAAACAGAAATTTAGCCAGGTTTGGTCGTAATGAAAGAACCAGGATGGGAAATTATAAACTCACTTGCTCCACCATTTGTATTCCTGCTTCTTGCAAATTATTCAAGAACGAGTTTGAAAGGATTGCGAATACATCGCCATCAAAATTGATCTTCTTGAAATACCAGATTATCGCTTTCGAGGTGTTAATTATGTGATCCTGCAAACATGCAATCACGTTCGTTATTTTCCATTGTGAGTAACCCTTCCGATCTCACTTTGCTTTTGAAGTATTTCAAATATATCATGGTTTTTACGTAAAATAATAAATTTAGCAGTGTTAAAGCATCAAATAAATTTTTTTATTTATTTCTCTAATTGTTTCTTACTGGGGGATATCTGGGACACCTATAATCCAATAAGATCGGAAAGGTTAAGAAATGACAAAAGAAACATTTTGAGAAAAATATTTTTCTTATATTTTTTATTACATTGCTATACAATATAATATGCTCTTCTTGTACAATAATATTTTTTCAATATTTCTTACAGTTTCAATGATATTAATGAAATTATGAAAATCATATTTTCTTTTCACCTCTAGAATCTGAACTGAAATCGTTTTTCAGCCGAAATAAATATCTATGCTACTATCTTTAGATGTACTTTCTCTCAGTAGAGTTACAAATTTTTCAAAATTTTCTCCTTTATTCGATTTTTTGGTTAAAAGATCATTTCATTTACTTAGTGATGGTGTCGATATGGCATTAGAATAACGCAAAAGATTTATCGCATTACTCTTGAATAAAATTGATAACGAAATTATTCTATTTCAAAGTCTTAACAAATCTTATTAATAAAATAAGCAACAACTCGACTTGCTATTTTTTCAGACACCCAATAAGATCTTGCTGGCTTCTTTCTCATATCCAAATCGGCAATTTTCCACATGTCTGAATTGAATAAAGAAATTACTAATTTTTCGCGCTAACCTATTCGTTTCTCGTAATGTAAAATTATGAATCGATGTGTGAATCGATTGTAACTTATTGCGGGCTACTTACTGGATTTATTTTAAATCCGCCATCCCGTGCTTTCTCGACAAAGAATTCCAGGTTGTGCGTATTATTGTTCGTTACAAGGTATACTTCCTTGCCTAGTTTGTTCAATGCTTCTAAGGATTCCAAAGCACCAGGGATGGAATAGGTGAAGGACCATATGACTCCTAGAAGATAGAAAGACATTATGACAAATAATCGTTCTGTTCTCAATTACAAATATTGATTGTTAACAAAATTATTGTACAAAATGGGGAGCTACAATAACACCTTTTCTTCTATATTATAATAAAATTCGAAATATTGAAGAAATTATAAAGTGCACACAAGAAAAAATGATCTGAATTTTGGATTTTCTCCACAATTTTAGATATACAATCAGATATACGCTTTTAGATATACACTTAGATTCTTAGGTGCAAAAATGTCAAACAATGGTTATAGGTTATATATTGTACAGGATATATACATGGTATCCCAAACTAATCTAATGGTTCCCGTGATGTGCAAGTAGAACGAGTGAAAATGAGTAGAAAAGTAATATACCACTTTCCAAAGTTCGCAATAGTTAATGAGGAATTAATTATTTTGAACTAATGAGCGTACGGGAAGAAGTAGGCCAGATTCTGTATAAAAAAATGGCTTTTCCCGTGCATTCATTAGCTCAGACAAAATAATTAATTTCTCATTAACTATTGCGGATTTTGCATAATGGTTCATGACTTTTCTGCCCAATTTCACCCATTCTACTTGCATACCACGGGAACCGAGTATAACAATTGAAAACTCGAAAAATTATTACAAAAGTCGTGTGTGTCGAAAAGTCCTTAGCTTTAAAAGTGCTGATAACAGAGTATGAGTGCATGATAAGGCTAATTGTTTTGCCATCATTATTTATCTCTTAAGGAGGTTAATGTTAGCGGGGAGAAATCTTAGAGAGGCAAGGGGAGAGAGAACGTCTGACAATTGAAAATTTTTTCGGCTGCTGACACGTCATCATCGTCGTCTATTGACATTGTACTTATGTACTCTATTAAAATTATTATAATTAATAAATTGAAAATTGACTGTAAAAAATAATTTATTTGTTAAATTTAAATGAATGTACTTGTTGAAATCGTGTGACTTTGATGTTTAAAACGGGTAAAGTTAAAAGAAAAACAAATAACTTTCAAATTACTACGGATGCTGCTGGCAAAGAAAGAATTCGTTTTAATGGAAAGTTTGTTAAAAAATTAAAAGTAGATAGACACTTACGAGGCAAAATGTTAAGTGAAATGAGAGAAAAAGCTCAAAGTCTTAAAAATTCTTCAGTTGAAATGAACAAAGTTGACATTCCTGTTGACGGTGAAAGAGTTGTTAATTTCGATTGTATGGCCAAGAAAATGTTTTGCAGTACATGTAATCATAAACTACATTTGACTGATATTATTGACGAATGTGTTCAGGGATTAGGATCCATTTTTCATGTCAAATGTGAAAAATGTTCACATGTAAACAAAGTTGAATCGAGTGCAAAATATGTATCTGTGATATCAGTTTCGCTTATAAAAAAATTAAGTCAGAACGGAGTTGCCTATGAAAACATAATTGACAAATATTTCGAAGGAATTGACAAATTAAAGCCATTATTGATGGGTGGAAGTAATCCCTTGAAAAAAAAAATCAGTATTATGGATAAAATTTTGGAATTTTTGAATATTTTAGAAAATATCATCCAAGATAAAATATGAGTATAATATATACTAGATTAGAAGTTATATAATACTGACAATGAGTTATTTTAAAATAGATTTCAAACATATAGAGAAAATATAAAAAACGACTCTGGTCAATTATTACATAGTCATTATTTTCTAAAATAATAATTATTATAAAAGTATTAAATTTTTCTATTAAAATGTTGTAATGTGTTAATAAAAATAATATTTTCAATAAAACGTTTTAAATTACAAAAGAAGTTGTTTTTACTATACATTGAATTTCAAAGCGCGCACCGAAAACAGCGTTGCCAAGTCGTCTGCTGCAACCACATTTTTAGCTATTTTTTAATAGAAATTTGTAGTGGGGCTCGCTCAAACTTTGACAGAATGTTATTTTAATAATATTCTTTCATATAAAAAAAAAGCATCTTCATTGAGCCGTTTTTTTTTAATTTGAATTTTAAGTGATTTCTCCATAAGCCTACATGTTAAAATGTCGTTGTTTTAGGTCAATATATCTTACAAACGGTATAGTGAAATCCTTCAAAAATTTAGTTGTGATATAATACTATTATTCCGAATAATCTATTAAAATTTAAAAAATTTTCATCGTAAAAAATCATCACTACCGAACCTCCTTAATAGTAAAAATATCAGTTGGCAAGGATATCGAGGTTAATGTGCAATGAAAACATTACATTGTAGCAAGGAACGTGTTAAAGCTGCTTGTTTTGTTTAGCACAAAACTGTATGAATGCAACTTTCTAATATTAATGTACCGTAAAGAACATGATCCTTTAATATAGGTATAATAGTACTCATACGACAGAGTTCTTTTCATTCATTCATATTTCTCGAACTATCGAGTCAATATTTGGTCAGAAATTCGTATTATTTATGCATCTTCTTAGACTTCAAACACTATACTTTTGATTTGCAAAAAGAAAAACTTTTCATTTTATTTTCATTTTATGTTTGATAAAAATGGATAACACTGTCCGATAAGAGAATTTGTTTTTTTACTAATTCAACTATATTATCATTCGAATACTGCTTGAAAACGCGAGATCAAACTAACACTATCCATTTTTATTTGCCAATTGTACTCGCACTGGCTCTAAAAGTCCAATCGCCTTAAAAAAAATGTCGCTTACCGTCGATGTCGGAAAATATCATGTCGAAAGATGCGAAGAATTCTTCCAACTGCTTGGCCGACAACTTGGCGAGATTTTTTACCTTTGACATCGTCTTCGATATAGAGTCGTCGTTATTTCTCTTTAGCTAAATACTCCCGGAATAACTATTGTGTCCAGATTCTGTAAATTTTTTCGATTTTGCAATGTGAAAACTCAAGTTCTATTCCTTGAATGAACGGCACTTTCTTTGAAAAGATCTTTGAGAAGACGAGCTCAGGTTGATTCTTGACGAACTGTTCTAAAAGACTGTGCGAACCCAACCTAATCTGACTACATATCGGTCCCGGTTACAGACATACGAATGGAGGTAACTGAATATTTCATTCTTGATAATATCACTGACGTCCGCTGATAATATCAGTGACTATCCGCTGATATATGAGCTGCGATAAATATGGTAAATTTCTATGATATTTTAACATTCATTTGGCTTTTAACATCTTGTTTTACGAATAAAGTTTGTTTTACGATAAGTTCTAATATTTTTTTGCGTATATGATTCCATAAATTGTGAAAATAAACGGTCTCGCATACAGACACATATATACACTAATCTATAAATTTCGATTATGACTTTTTTACATTAATGATCGTAGCAGATGCACTAAGTTAGGCTTACTGATGTTAAAATATTATTGGCAGTGAATTATATGTACCACTCATTTATTTAGAATTTTTAATTATCAGATCGCAGGCGATATCAAGCCTATAAGTATGTGCTATAATAAATACAGATAAAGATTTTTATAGGTGTTTTAATATTTATTTATTCATATCTTAATATCTCTTGTTTTACGAATAGACGTTCTAATATATTTTGGGTATATGATTCCGTTAAGTGTGAAAACAAATAGTCTCGCATGTAAACACATGTATATGCTAACGTATAAACTTTAATTATGACTTTTTTGACATTAATTGCCATATTTAAACAGTACTAAATTGTTACACTTAATCACTAATTTAAATATTGCTGATAAAGAGTCACATACATCACTCGCTTGTGACTCACGATGTGACTTTAAACTTATATACATATACTAAATATAACACCATATTAGGTATACAATGACAGAAAAGATAAGATAAGAAACTTGCAGTAGAAGACTACTAAACGTATATGTGACAGTAATGTATCGTTTCCCATCAGCAGTTTCAACAACCGATCGCGCATCTTAATCGACAGAATACAGACCGATAAAGTCAAGAATAATAAACAATAATACGAAAACAGAGGTAACCGGTTAAATGCATGTTCGCTATATTGATTTGACTGTCAATTAGTATAATGTACAAATTTTAAAATATTACTGAAAATACAATCAGAAGAACTAAATTACATTTTGCTAAAGGCAAAGAACCGACAAAATAACACATGGATTCAAGGATTCGTAAAAATTCTGAAATACTTGATATTTGCTTGTAATTATATTGTAAAGGTTGAGTTTACAAATATGAATTTTACTTTTTAATTACTCAAGTAACACATCTGTACAAGTTGGCATTACTACGCAATTTACATTTGACAGTTTTTCTTTGTTAATCATTTATAGTCTATTTCTCTCTTTGATTTAGGACAGCAATAAAAATGGTGTTTATTCGATTTAGGGGAGTAAACAATGTGTGACAACTAAAGCTTTTTGAATGTTACTCAAGGCAATGGCCTTGATAACATGTCTCAAGGCCAAAGTTATTGGAGCTGACTCCCCTAAACTGAATAATTATTATAAAAATTATTTTTACCGTTGCTCTTATGTTGCTTGAATTATTAATACAATTTGTTTAAAATGATGAATTAGCAATTAGACTACTTTAATTACAATTGATTTGAAATGTTTTTCGTAACTAAGCGATTATGCGTCTACTTCTTCACAACAAAATTTTCCACGTGCCTTTCCCAGTCTTTTATGTTCCGGCCGGTTTTGTTATACTTTTAGAAATAGTGCGTAAATAGAGACCTCGACCTATGTAAATCAGAAAGAAAGGAAAATAAATCAGAAACGAATAGAATAATTATGGTAAATATGACACATGGGACGCACAAACATGATAAAGATCACGATATGCATCCGCACAAGAGAAACGGATATATAATATAAAAGTGAAACAAAATAAATTATCAACGACGACTTCAATTTAAAAGCGTTTAGAAATATAACCGTACACATGACATAGAAGAAGACAGATTGTATACTAAAATTTATTGTAGTCAGTATTATATATTATATATAGTACTATAAGTACTGATTTTTATCTCCGATAATGTTTCTGTAGCTACGAATTTTATCAAGAAGCATATTTTTTTCATTTTTATTTAACTTTGTTATTGTACCAAATCTAAAGTTATCACAATTTATCATAATAAATTTTATCACACTTAATTGATTCTTCTGAATATACTACTGCGATCTTTGTTATTGAAACTCCTATTTTATTGTCTCATTCGAATCTCTGAATCTTGTCGAGATTTTCAACGTTGACGAAAATATTAATACTCCTTTGCTTATGTAGAATAGCTTCTTTTACTTAGGGCTAATGCAATTAATATCAAGGAATAAAATGTCACATCTCGAGATCCTCCATTGGTTCTTCAAGTTTGACGTAATTTGTAAAGTTAATATAGAATCAAAATTTCGATTCGGCCGGCTTTGCTATTGTTAAGCAAAATTCATGCAAAAAACACTGATGCTTAGAGCTTACCTTCTCTTTTTCTCTGTTCTTCGACGTTCAGATTCGTCACAGTTCAAGGATAAGGTGAGTCGACACGAATGACGATTGAATGCCTTTAGGTTAATAGAATTTCAATTTATTCAGTTTTTTTTCCCTAGCCGTCAGTGTCTTGATTCCCATTTATAAAGGTATTATATGGCCGTAGCGATAGCAACTAATAATCGTACTCTTAATAATCGTGATCGTCTCAATTATAATAATAATTAATAGCAATAATTATAATTAATAATTATTCATAATCATAATAGTAGCAATCAATGGCGATACATTACACAGACAACCGCATCTCACTTAAATTATCGTCCTTGTCGTCTCCTGATATACGCAAAAATCGTCTGGAATTCACACGGATACTCAAACGCAAAAGATGAAAGAAAAAAGTGGTCTTATTTCACATCGATTCAAAAAAGAACAGCTAGGCGAAATCGTAAAAATATTTATCCGTATTTGACTAGATAAGTGACGAGACTCCTTACGCTTCTCTACATGGCATAACCGCCGCATAGCAATTTATAGGCTATTGGATTAACTTTGTACCCAAAACCGGCGTAATAGCTTTAATAGTTTTATTAATGATATTGATATTACCACGATTTTCAGTCGTACTCACATGTGTACTCACGGTTGAAAATCCTAGTCACTACGCATTAAGGCGATTACGTCGGCTTCTGTACATGGTACATAGAAACAATCGTCTCACAACAAACGCGGAAGCGTGAAGAACGTCGCCGCGACCGACGGATCGACTGAAGTCGCCGTGTATTCTCTAAATCCACAATGAAACATTCCTTGAGAAGGCAAGTTTTCGTATCTCTATAAATAACTGGAAGATGACACAGAGTTACACATAGCGTCCCAGAAGAACCGTACGCGAAGTGCATCAGAAGATTCTTGATAAACGAAGCCATTTCTCGTGTACCAAAATTACGTTCAAATAAAAAAATGAAAGCTAAATTTTTTCTCTAAAAATTTCTTTATGCTACTAAATGCCGTTAAATGACAGTTTGGTATCAAGAATTTTCCGATGCACTCCGCATGCTACTATTCTGAGACACACTGTATAAAAAATTATTTCACGGAAGAATTTAATTGTAGATTTGAGATATGAAATTTAGAAGTTGCGTTACAACTTGTCACGAAATAATAGCTATTTAGTTTCAGCAAGCTGCCGACGATCATTCTGTGCATAATGTAACGAAGAAAGGAGAATTAATTGGAGAAGTTGCCACCCGCCGATTTTTAATATAATAATTTAATATAATAATTTATCGGTCGCATCAATAGCGATTAAATAGCTATTTAATGCCGATTTAACACGGTAACGTAATAATTTTTTCACAAATCTTTCTTCAGTGATTTTTCGATATCGTATTTGGAATCTGTTTCTGCCGATTGGCGACGATCACGACGCGCTTTTTCAAGAGAGATTCTCAGACTCACACGTCTTAATTTTCTGTGACCTTGCAAAGTCAAGTGCGCAGTCGCCGATTGAATCATGCAAATGTAATTGGCCACTTGGAACATGGCCTTCGACAGTGAGCCAAGGATATTTCTCTCACTCAAAAAAGACTTGTCTGATAACGCGAGGAGAAATAGGAAAAAAGAGGAGACTTGAGACAATTAAAAAAAAAACTTTCGATAAACCTCACGTCGGTGATATGACGAATAGCTTTTGCGAAATTATCGTCAGCGGGCAGCAGAATCGCATTATTTCCGAATTGCCCGCAATTAAAGCGTCGTAAATGTCGTTAAGCCATAACGAGAGCGATACCGAATGAGTTATTATGATTGTCGCCCGTGATCGTTTGCAAATTAAAGTTCAGTCGTTCGATTCCACTTGAATGATACGTGACTCCCATGAGAGATCAGTCACGTTCTTTCTCTATCTTCTTTCGACGTCTCTCCCGAGCGAATTAAAATCTTATTATATTCCAATTATCGAGACGATACGTTTGATTCCGTTCTCCACGGTGGTGAGAGAGAACACGGCTAGACGAGGAACAATTTCTCTCTCTCTCATAAGTCACCGACCATCATATCACCGAGATAGGGTGCATCTATGCAAGAATCTGGCGCAATGCACAGCTTCCCTCTGGATATTTCTCCGCCTCGGTTTTATTTATACCATTATCCACGACAACCACGACTATAGATGACGTCGCGACCGACGATCGTACGAAAATGGCAACGACACATGTTCGAATATAATACAGAATAGAGTAGTATACTAATAATGTTAATAGCACTGCTTAACTTCGTTTCGCAATTTGTGTGTCTCCCCGGAGAAAATCCCCCCGGTATCTCGATCCGTAAAACGTGTGACGTGTTTCGAGCGTTTATACCGCGACCAAGATTCACTTCGTGTGAAAACAGCAATACATATCGATGACTTTATAATTGTTACAAGCAAAATTCACGTCGTATATTAATGAACGACGTAGCGCCATTAAGCTCTATAATATACTGGAGTGAGCTGTCAAGGAGCGCCCCATTCGTAGAAAAAGATGCACATATGCTGGATATATCCTTATCTTTGTCATAGCGGTATGT